GCGCGCACGGTGACTGGCCCCCAGTCGCACACTCTGAAGGCGTCGCGCTGCGAGCCGCGGGCGCCAAAACGCGGCACGCGGCCCCCGGCATCGACGCGACGTCGCCTTGAGGCGGCCCTTGATGAGGACCCCCGCGCCTCCGCGAGCGCCTGCCTCGCTGCAGTCGCTTGCCCGCGCAGCTGCGAACACTGCTCAGAAACCCGCCTTCTGCAGCTTGTTCTAAGTGTCAGAGCTGGGCGGGCCTCCTGCAACGAACCATCGGAAGCCTTGAGCTCGTGGTAGACCGGGTGGGCCTCCTGCAGCGCGTAGACGTCGCGCGGCTGCCGCTCTCCATCGCAGTGAAGCCAACTCAAGACCGTCGGGCCCCACCGCGCGACGTTGGCGCAGACGACGCGGCGCTCGCGGTGGGAGTCGTCGCCAAACTGCCCCCCGCCACCGCGCCGCGACCGTCAGTGGGTCGCGGGGGCCCCCGAGGAGACCGCCGCGGTCCGCCGCTGTTGGAGGTAGTCCTCCGCCAGGTCCGTCTCATTCATCTCCGTTTCTCGTCGTCGGCTGCTGCTGGGGTTGTGGCTGCGGCTGCAGCTGGTCGGGGTGACGCAGGCGCTGCTGTCGCCGCTGCCGATGAATCCGCCTTCCTCTTCTTGCAGGCCTGCTGAATCTCGGCTCTCTCCTGCTCCGCCCTCAGCTGCGCCGCTGGATGCGATGCTTCAGCTGGCCCGCGAACCCCCTGGCGCCCCCTTGCAGCTGCTCCAACACCTGGCGCTTGGCGTCGTCGACCGCCTTACGACCATGCTCGCCCAGGTCGTCCGAACGTGCGAACTCCTGCTCCACTTCGGTGATATGCGCGCCGCTGGGCGAGAGCAGGTCCGTGTCCGCGTCGAGCAGCTGCTCGAAGATGCTGCGCTGTCTGGCGTTCGGCTCGCCCTCCTGCTTGATATCCTCGATCTTGCGTTCAGCCTTCGCGACCGCGTCCGCCCCCCTTCAGGGCGGTCTTGGCCTTCTCGGCTTTCTGCTTGTGCTGCCCCCGCCCGCTCGAACGCCCACTCGCGCTGCTTGCTGGCGTACTCGAGCACCTTCCCAGCTTCAGCCAAGCGCGCAGCGCGTGACTTAGTCTGCGTACGCGGCGCCCCCTGGAGCGCATCCGCGACGCCCGCGGGCTGCTTCGGATGGCGCCCCCCCTGGCGAGCTACAGCGTGCCAATGGTCTCCGCGACCGTCTTCAGAGCCGATGCCAGCTGGGCGACGCCGCCAGCCTTGGCGTCGCCGCTGCTGGAGCCCCCCCCGCCACGGGGTCTCGCACGCACGCCGATGGACTGCTGCTGCTGCTGCTGCTGCCACCATTTGGGCTGATGTTGCTGTTGCTGCTGCTTCTGTTGCCACTGCTGCGGCTTGCCCGCCTTGGGCCTGGCCGCTCGGCATCCGCAGGTGCACCAGTAGTCATTGCGCTCGAGGGTGGCGTGCCACCACCAGTTCTGGCACTTTTTGCAGGTCGTCCGCGCTGCGTCGCCTGGCGCCATGCTCCCGTGATGAGCCTCGAGGCGGACGGTGCCCCTCCCTCGTCTGAATCGAAGTCGGGACTCTGCCCGCTGGCGCCGCACTCGTCGATGCCACGCGGGCGAGCGCGATCGCGGCCGCGCGCCCGCCCCGCAGTTTCGCCCCTCTGTCGGGGTTGGGGTCGTGGTCTCTCGGGCTTCTGACCCAAAAAGGGGCGCCTCGGACCACAGCGCCTGGGGAGGGGAGGGAGGGGAAGGAGGAGGAGGAGGAGGAGGAGGAGGAGGAGGAGACGGAGGAGACGGAGGAGACGTATGAGGCGAAGATTAGCCCACCATCTTGTAGCACATCGCTTCCCGAGCGGCATGGCTAAACGGCGCCCGCCGCCGAATACCTGCTTCGATAAGACCTCATGGCCTGCGCGCGCGTCGCCCCCTTTTGCGTGGGGACGCCGACGGATGCTGGCCAGAACGCAGGAGCCTGAGGGATAATTTCGGGGGGGGGGGGTCTATGTCTTCGACCCGGGGGCTGGAGGATCCCCGAGGTGGGGGCCCGGGAAGAGGGAGGTTTTGGAAGACCACGGCCCGAGGAACGTGCGCAAACGAGGGGGGCCAGGGGACGTGCGTAGAGACGAACAAAATACAAGCAACCACGGCGAATCACAGCAGCAACAACAACAACAACAACGACGACAACAACAACAACAACAACAACAACAGCAGCATCAGCAACAACAACAACAACAACAACAACAACAACAACAACAACAACAACAACAACAACAACAACAGCAACAACAACAGCAACAACAACAACCACAACCACAACAGCAGCAACAACAGCAGCAGCAGCAACAGCAACAGCAGCAGCAGCAACAACAGTAACAACACCAACAAGTACAACAACAAACATTATACTATTGTTCGCTCTTGCTTGCCCGCGTGTCGTTCAGAACGGGCCCCCACACCCTCGATACCCGCCTTTTTTGTCTTCGATCACACACCCCTTGGGGGGATTCGTTCTCTTTGCGGGGCGGCGGCGGTCTTAGCCAGGCGGGCAAACCTGAATGGGCGGACAATCCTTCGTGGGCGTACATATGCCAGCCATTGGAATTGGTGTGGGCCCTGCAAAAAGAGGGGAGGGGGAGAACGAGGGAGAATGGGAGGAAGAGAGGGGGAGGGACGAAGCAAAAGGGAAAACGCCAGGAGAAAAGGAGCGAAGAGGGGGGCGGTTGATTAGAGGCAGAGAGCGAGAAAAAGAGAGAGAGAGAGAGAAATAAAGAAAGACAGACATATAAGAGAGGTAGAGAAAGAGAGAAAAAGGGGAGAGAGACATAAAGAAAGAGAGAGGGAGGAGGCAGGAGAAGGGAGGGAGAAGGGAGGAGGGAGAGGAGGGAGAGGGGATAGGGCAGCGAGGCATAAGGATGAGGGAAGAGAGGAGGGAGAGAGAAAGGAGGAGAGGAGGGAGGAGGGAGGAGGGAGAGGGAGGAGGAGCAGGAAGGTCAGAGCGTGAACGTTCGAGGAAGTCCTAGGCGATAACGCCGTTCTTGAAGGAAGTCTCGGGCGGGAGCCCACGACGGGCAGGCGATCCCCTGCCGGGCGGGTCGGGCGGGTGGGACATTCAAGCGGGATGCCTGAGTATGGCGAGAGCGCGATTACTAAGTAAATTGTAACGGCGTCCTTGGCGCAGCGTGCTTCCTGAGCATCGAAAGCGCGATTTCTAAAAATTGCATAGAAGTCCAAGGCGAGAGCGCATTTCTGGAATAAAATGTGAAGGGTTCTCTGGCGGGAGCGGGGGTCTTGATTGAATTGCGAGGAAGTCTTGATTCAATTGCGAGGCAGTATCAAGCGGGAGCGCCGTTCCTGAGTAAATCATGGAAGTCTCAGATGGGAACGGGGGTCCTGACTTATTTGCGAGGACGTCACAGGCGGGAGCACCGATCCTGAGTAAAGTGTCGGGAAGTCTCAGGTGCGGGGGTCTTGAGTAAATTTGGACGAAACCTCAGGCGGGAGCCGTTGTTGTTATAATCCAGGGGGCCAGGGGCCCAGTTTGAGCACCAAGACTTTCCCTGTCAAAAAACAGGGTGTGAGCGTCGAGGGGCACCAGTGAGGGGGATCAACAATAACTATTTTTGTTTTCGGAAATGGGAGTTCAACAGCCACAACAACAACCATAATCAAAACAACAACAACAACAACAACAACAATCATTTAAGACTGGGGACACTCCGTTCTCACCAGTGCCAGGGTTTTCATAGGAGGCGGGCAATACCCCCACTTTGTGGGGGGGCCGGTTCAAGCTCTACCAAATTTCCATACGACTCTTCGCCACCACCCACACCCAGCTTCCCGCCCTATGACGTTCGGACACTTCACTTCGTGGCATGCGGACGACCGTGGCTACTATTCAGGGCCCCGCGGCCGACGACGACGGCGTGCGCGCGCGAAGAAAAAACGAATGTGTCCCGCATGGTATTATTTGACAGGGATGATGGCCCTGGCAGGTGCGCAACCGTTGTCGCAGAAGTTCGAAAAAGTTGCTCGCAAAAGCCCGTTTGACAGAAATGTTTAAAAAGTGTTGGGTTTCCTACGAATCCGCAAGAGCGCGCGGGATGAGATTTTGACATTTTTTTGTTGAAAAACCATTGGTTTTTTGATGTTTTTATGTTAAAATCGCTCCGAACACTAAGCTTTTGGAAGGATTTCGTCTTGCGCGCGCGAATGTCCACTTTACCTTATTTTTTGCAAGGGATTCTTGAAATTTGATTATATTAGAACAAGAAATGTCATTTTATAGTGTTTTTTGCAAGGGAAAGCGGATTACAACAAAACAACCGGATCCTGTACACACCCTCTTTTCTGAGGCTTCCTCACGAAAATGATGAAAATGTAGCTGCGGCCTAGGCGGCGCAGGGGGGGCGCGCACCAGGGGGCCCAACAATAATTATTCTTTAGAATAAATAATGTTCAACAACAACAACAACAACAACAACAACAACAACAACAACAACAACCACAACCACAACCACAACCACAACCACAACCACAACAGCAGCAGCAACAACAACCAGTACAACAACAGCTGCAGCAACAACAACAGCAACAACAACAGCAACAACAACAATAACAACAACTACTACAGCAACAACAATAGCAACTACAACAATAACAATAACAACAACACTAAAATCCACCATAACAACAGCAGCAACAACAACAAGAACAACAACAGCAACTACGACAACGACAACAACACCAACAGCAGCGGCAACAATAACAATTACGAAAACGGTAGCAACAACAAGAACAATGACTAGAACAAACATGATACGAGCAAGAATAATAAGAAGGATACTAATAATAAGGACACTACTAGGAGATAGCCATGAGATCTTGGAGATGCGATGACCCCAGCCATGATACCATGATATCCACATCCTCTAAGTCCACACATCCATGTGCGACGCCCCCGAGATTAGAGGAAGACAAGAAGGAGCCTAGGCAGGGCATCCTGGGAACTGTCTCTGCAGTCGCTCCAGATGCTGTATCCGACGGCCGAGGACCCCGCCAGCAGCATCGGGCTGACGAGGAAGACGACCTCCATGGTGGTGCGTTGTTTACCAGCCGTGTCCAGGAGAAGGCAGAGGCAGAGGCGAGAAGGAGACACCACAAACGACTGGCGGTTGTCTGACTTGAACCTGGGAGTCGGCAGGCAACCCTGCCACCGGACCGTCTCGCCTGTTGGAGGCGGCCAGTGGGTCTGAGCTGCGTTGACCTCTAGGACCAGGAACGTCCTTTCATCCAGGCCAGAACCAAATGCGGGATGAATGGACTTTGATCCATCTCACTCTGACCTACTCTGATCCCGCGCTCCGTTCTGTCCGTCATTCCTCCTTCATCCTCCCCCAACCACCGGCGCATCTGTGGCACCATCAATACTCCCCGCTCAGACGCAAATTACCCAACGCACCTGTATTGTCAGGCATCCCAGAGGAGCGTCAAGGACACAGGAAGTCGTCATCACAGAGGCACGACTGGTTGGAGAAGCTGGAAGAACATCTGGCCACGATCGCCAGCCGCCGTAGGCCAGTGATACGAAGTTGTGTAATCGGGAAGGTAAGCCCTGCAATCGCTCTTGAGACTCGCAAGGAAAGGGGCACAGTGTCCGCATCCTTGTCAGGTCTGTTGGGCAAAATAAGCGCACGCATCATCGAAGCCAGACCAAGCCTACCCCGTCCTCGCACGACAATGACAAAACACCACACAGGGACAGGGGGGACCTACATGTTCTCGCGAATGGGCATCCTGTGAGGCCACATGACGCCGATGGCCCGAGGGGATAAATCGGGAGAGCGTTCGTCTCGCAGACCACTGGTGATACCCCACTGGCACGATGACAACGCAAGCGCCATGGGTTCTAGCTGGTGCGGTGGCGATGCGGACGAGCGACGACGGAAACTCTCTGCAATGCCCCGGGCCGCTGCAATCAATAAATACCCTCTTCCGATATTTATCGTCCTCCCCCTCCGCCTCCTCCGAATGGTCGTGCTCCTGTCTCTCCTCCCACAACTCGCACCACCCCTCCCCCCCCGTCTTCCTACATCCCACGCCCCGTTCCTTCCGTCGTCCCTCCCCCATCCTCCTCCAAAAACCGGCGCGTCCGTGACACCACAAATATTCTCCGCTGAGACGCAAATTACCCAACGCACCTGTATCTTCAGGCACCCCACAGGAGCTACACAAGAAGTCGACATCACAGCGGCCCGAGTGCGCGAGGGAAAAAATGGCCACAATGTCCGTCCTGCGCAGGCCAGCGACGCGCAGCTGCACAACCGGGAAGGCAAGCCTGGCAAGTGCCCCTCAGACTCACAAGAAGAGACACAGTGTCTGCATCCTCGTCAGGTCAGTTCGGCAAAATAAGTGCACGCATCATGGAAGTCAGACCAACCCCGTCGTCCCACGACAATTAGCCTGGCGAAAAACCCAACCTAATGTCTACCCCGTCGTCGCACGACAATGACAAAACACCACACAGAGACAGGGGGAACCTACATGTTCTCGCGAATGGGCATCCTGTGAGGCCACATGACGCCGATGGCCCGAGGGGATAAATCGGGAGAGCGCTCGTCTCGCAGACCACTGGTGATACCCCACTGGCACGATGACAACGCAAGCGCCATGGGTTCTAGCTGGTGCGGTGGCGATGCGGACGAGCGACGACGGGAACTCACTGCAATGCCTCGAGCCGCGGCAACCAACGCTCTCTTCCGACTTTCGTCGCCCGTGAGCCCCGGCCCGACGAGCAGGCCCAGCGCGAAGAGGGCCAGCCCCCCGAGGCTTAGCGGGCTGCAGGGCTCCGCCTTGGGTGCCGCTGGGCACTGGCTAGCGCGGCGCGCTGGGCAGGGCGGGCACGCCACAGGCTGCGGGCAGGCAGCCGGCTGCGGGCAGACCAGGGGCGGGCGCGCCGGAGCCGCGGGGCACCGCAGAAGGTATGGCTGGGTGACCTGCCCCGCTGCCTACAGCCCTGCAATCCAGATGCTGAGCCCCTGCCATCCGCCGCGAGCGCCCACGCTCGCCTGAAGTCTTTGAACCCCGATGGGTACGGAGAAAGGGAGAACAAGAAAAGGACAGAGGTGAAGACCGAAAGGGCACCAAGAACTGCACCTCTGCTTGACTTGTACCCTGTGTGATCTCACGCGGCCTACCGTGGGAGCATTGCGCACAGAGCTATGACGATACGGGTCAACTCACAATCTATGTACATACTTGTATATGTATGTGCGCACACCACTCGCGCGCGCTTCGCGCGTTTAGGCTCTAACGCAGCCGATGGCGCTGTGATGAAACGCGTGTGACGCGGTTCTCGGCCTCCCCTTGTCCTCGCCCATCTTCCCTCGCGCTCCCTCGTCCTCCTCCTTTTGTTCGCCCTTCCTACTGCCATCCTCTTCCCCCTCCAATTCTTCCTTGTTCTCCTCCCTCCTCCTCTGTCTGCCGCTGCATCCTGTCGCCTTCTCCTCCTCTTCCTTCTCCCCCTCCTTTTGTTTCTCCTCCTCCTCCTGCCTCCATTCCATTTGGTCCGTCTTGGGCTGGTCCAGCCGCCCTCCGGCGTGGTTCTCTTGGACATCTCGTGGGCCATATTTGGGGTATTTGGGGCCCCTCATGGGCCGCGGTGGGCTCCTTGGTAGCCAAGGGAAAAACTATAAGGAAATCATGCGTCTTTTTTGTGTAGTGGGCCTCCTCGGAGTCCTGCTGGGACGATGTTTGCGCAATCTTTAAAAATGTCGGTCTCTCGTGGGGCTGTCGTGGGTCCCCTCGCGTTGGACGATTTTGCCTTCTTGGGGGCAATCTTGAAGAACTTCCTGGCAACCTCCAACTCATTTTTTAAACCGTTTTCAAATCTCTGGGACGCATGCCGGGGAGACCTTCTGGGAGGTATGCCAGGGCCCCTTTTGGGGCGTCTTGGAAATCTCTTGGGGCCATATTGGGGCCGTCCTTGGGCCCCTTAGGCTCCTCTGGGCCGTCTTACAATCTCCTGGGGGCGCGTTCAAGCCGTATGCGCCGCTTCCTCCCTCCTCTTCTCTGCCTAATTCAAACTTCGCGCGGTCCGCTTAGCTTCCACCGGAAGAGGTGCGCTCTCGACCCGCGGATCAAAAAAGTGTTCAAGCCGTATGTGGCCTGCCTTGGGCCGTCTCGGCGCCCTCTTGTGCCCCCGTGGAAGCCTTATGGGGGCATCTTGCAGTCCAATGTCTTTGAGCTCCTTAGGACTTTGGCCGTCTCAGTGCGACTTGGGGGGCCTCTTGGGCCGTCTTGGGCGCTGCATCAACTAAACGATCGAGCAGGCAAACATCGCTTAAACAATCAAACGAGAGCATCTGCGTTGTTGGCCTCTCGAGGCCCTTTCGCTGGCCCTCGCGGAGGCGCTCGTGCGGTCCTTGTCGTCTATTCGGGCCGTCCTGAGGCCATCTAAGACTCTCTTGTATCTTGGACCGCCTGGGCGGTTTTCTTGCCGCCCTCGCGGTCCATCGCGGAAGCCGCTGGATGCCTAAAAGCCCCCCTGAACCCTGACAGGGCCCGCTGTCTCCTGGGGCCCAAGTGGGTTGCGTGGTTGGGCGGGGGGGGGAAATTTACAAACAGGTGGGCCGACCTGGGGCTGGGGCGGCTCTCCTCCCTTCGCCCTTCTCCCTCCGTCTCATCATCGTTGCATAGTCCTGTCATCCCTAGGTTGTGGACGACGGCGTCTTAGGGGCTTCTTAGAGCTTCGTGGGGGCGTCTGCTAGCCTGCTGGCGGTCTCCGGGGTGCCTTGGAGCCATCCTGGGACGCATGCTAACTTCGTGGAAGAGTGGCGCTGTGGCGTTCCATACTTCGATGAAGGTGGGACAGGAAGAAACAACAATATAACTAGGTGCCTGAGAGGTGTCCGCTGAGGGTGTCCGTGCATCCGTGGGACCTCTTCGGGGCCGTTTGGGGCCTCCTGGAAGGGCCTCTGGGGGGCCTTTCTGGTAGCCTTTCGAGAGGCACCTGGGTCCTCTTGGGGGCCTCTTGGGGGCCGCTTGGAGCCTTCTTGGGCCTTGTTAGGGCGGTCTTGGGCCGTCTTGGGGGGATCTTGGGCCGCCTTGGGGGCCCTCTCGGGGGCCTCTTGAACCGTCTTGGGGCAGTTTGGGGAGCCTCGCGGGTCGTCTGGGCTTGTATTACAATCCAAGAACGAATGCGCTAACAATGGGTAATGTTTGCCTCCTGGGGTGCTCCAGGGAATCCTCTTGGAGCCCTGTTGGGCCGCCTTGAAGCCATCTTGGGCGTCTTAGAACGCTCTTGGGCCGTCTCGAGAGCATCTTGGACCGTCTTGGAGGCTTCTTGGGATCATCGTGGCCTGGCTGGACAAAGCTGGGGGAGCCCCAGGAGGCCCTAGACCCGCATTGGCGGTTTGGTGTCCTGGTTCCTGGACCCCCAGATCCTTCCCCACTTAAGCTCACATCTGTATTATTCTCCTCGTCTTCCTTCTCCACCCTACTCTTGCTCCCCTTTCGCTTGCCTCATCCTCCTATTGGTCGTCATCCTCGCCCTCGCCCTTGTCTTACTCGTCGTACTCTTCTCCTTCATAACATTCTGTATCATGCTCTGACCGATGCGTTTTTCTCTTAACCATGCAAAGCGCCACTCCTCTTCATCCTGCACCTGTATCATTCCTGCCCTCGCCCTCGTCCTTCTACTCTTCCATCTCCTCGTCCTCCTCCTCCTCCTCGTCATCCGCGTCCCCCTCTTCCTCTTCTGCGCTTCTTCGTTGTACCATTGACAGCATTCACGCTACCCATCCTCATCCTCCATTCATCCTCGCTCTCCTCCTCGGAGCCGCCTCTGGCGCAACAATTCCCACGATGCGAAACTCAACGCAAGAACAAACAAGAAGAGAACAGCACACGCTAAAGAGTTGGACATCACTCATTGCCTTGCGACCTCCCAACAGAAGCGCCAAAAGTATTGCGAATGAGGAATGTATCGGCTCAAACAGCCTGTGAATTACTATCTGCCGCGCGCGAGGCGTGCGACGGGATCATTGCACCCAGGCGGGGGAAGCGACGCAAAATGCGAAGGACGGCAAA